ATTTATTTATTTATTTTACACCCAGTTTATTTAATAGCTAAAATAAATGAGCTGGCTTATTTTCAGATATTAAATTATTTTTAGCTAGACTTAATTCTGTGCCTGTCCCTCTTAAGCAACTGAACTTCTACCAATGATTGATTTTGCTGGGTCCCCACACAAAAAGCTCAGAAAGGTCTCCTATACCTATAGTTTCCTGGTTGCAAGCAATAAGCACTGACTTGGCTAACTGAAGCAAATAGGGAATTGATTGCAGTATCAATGAAAGACTGAAAAATCTGGCCTGGCGAGGGCAGGACTAGGGCATTTCCAGGGATTAGAGCAGGAGAAGCTAGTCTATAGCTTTTCCAAGGAATAAGTTCTGATTATTTTTGTTTTCCTATACTATCTATCTTCAGAAGAGGCAAAATTAAGAGAGGGAGAGACTAACTTTGGCTGACAATCCCACAAGATTACCTTCCATAGGAGAAGTAACTCCCCACCTACACACACGCACACGCGCGCACACACACACACAGAGTCGTGGTGCAGTGTTATAACCAGAAGAGGCAATGGTTGATGGGCAGCCACCATCACAGAAATGCCCATTACAGCCTTTTTTTTGTTTTTCAATCAAGCCCTTCTCTTTCATAGCTTTTCCCATAAGGCTCCTTGGGCAATATTCCCAGCTCCACCTTTAGCTCTTAGCTCCATTCATCATGAAATACACCCTGCTTTTCCATCCAGGCTGCCTGACAATTACACTACCCCTTCTTAAAAGTCTTGGAGAGTCTGCCCCACCCATAGCCCTGTTTTGAGAGCCTCCTTATGCAACGTGCTATTCTTGGCTCGGCAGAAGGCAGAGGGTCAGGGCCTCCCTGAATGGTCCCTTTCTAGCAGGCTTGCCACAGATCTGGTAGATACTCTCTGCCCAACAGAAAAGCTCTCTACTGAGTAGCATTAAACCATCTAGATTCTCTCTGGGTCTATCTGACCATGAAGTTTACAAAGTACAGTCTTTAGGGAGGGTAGATGCAAAAAGGCATAGAGGTGAGTGAGGCAGAGAACAGAAACCATGGGATGGCACGAAGGAGAGTAGAAAAAAAGATGATCACGAGTAGAAGCAAAAGTGGAGAGACCCCAGAGTGTGGGAACTCTGGAGTAGGGAGCCAAGGGTGAGGCTCCCTGCTGAGGGGACTAAGTAGTGGCTGCCTTCGTATCTTCATCAAGCTTTCAGAGCGGCACAGATGTTTCTGTTTTTACCTCTCTATATTGTTGCAACAAATCCTTCTCTTTACCTGATGAAACCTAAGCATCACTCTATTCCTTGAGCCCAGAAAGAGCCTAATAGGTCACCACTACCCCCTTCCCTGCATTCTTCTCTCCTGTTCTTAATCTCTAACAAACAACCCTGTCAATACTGCCTTTCTTTTCAATAGCTACGTCTTCCTTTAGGGTCTCTACCGCTCCCTGCCCTCCTGAGCCTTCTAAAATCCACCTCTTTTCCAGAGTCTCACTAACCTCCCCTATCTGTTCTGAGTCACCTTTCAACACCTGATAACAGCCAGGTCAAAGGCCCTACTCTCGATGAGTTACCATAGTATGAAATATTGGTTCATTTACTAAAGTCACAAAGATCTCAGCACAGGGATTTGATGGACTGGTCTTTGGGCCTGAATTGGAAGTGTCAATCAAACGACAGACTTCTGGATCTTAGATTTGGAAGAGCCATCAGAATCATCTGGTCCAGCCTCAAACCCAAAGCCACATCGCCTGCAACCACATTCCGAAGAGGTATTTCCCCAGCCTGAGGCTGGGAAATTCCTAAAGCGGCAGATCAGTTTCCCAGGGCAGCTCAATTGTCAGCCTCCCACTACCAGGATTGCTATTGTTAGAAGTCTCTTCGCCTGAGGCAAATGCTGTCTCCACCCAGCTCTCACCCGTGGGTCCTCAAGATAAAGCCAATTGGTTTAATTCCCTTTTCACAGGCCATTCTTCTAAAAGGTTTAAAGACTTATGGGGCTCAAATAACATGGCATGTGGGGTAGCTTTTTATGAATGTTAAAATACACTACAGATGTACAGTATTGGATTCTCTCCACTACCGTAAACTCTTCTCATTCTTCTTCATACCCAAAGAAGGAAGATTCCTAGACAGGCAGATCACTGCCTTACAGAGCAGCTGAGGGGGCGCAGAATACACCACCCAGAATGTGCCACTTTGGCATGTGGATATTTTCAAGCTGAAGACAATCGGGCTCCAGCAGATTCAGGAAGAGATTTTTACTTCCCCCTTAACTGCCTAAAAGAATTTAGATCAGGGGCCTGTACCAGGAAGAGAGCTAGTACTAACAGATAACTTTATATCAGAAAAGACTTATCCGCATAGCGTGGCATGGCAAACATTTGCTCTTCTCATCTTCTGATTGTCTTCCTCCCCTTTGAAGCCCCAGGCCTCTTTCCCCTTCTCCTTAGCTCAGGATGGCATATTAGTCTCCATTCCCTGACTGCAGGGGAGTTTCGTGTTTTTATGGGACTCCGGTACATACAAAATTTGTTTCTC